ATTCCTTCTCCCCTGATGGAATCAATCACAGCTTTTACCTTTCCATGATATCTCTGATCCCTTTTGAAGAAAATAGAAACAGCAGGAATGCCGTGTTATAGTGTGTGAAAATCGCGGGACGTAATTAAGAACACGACAACATGTGATTGCAACAGTTGTAAAACCAGGAAAAATGTGAAGTTGCTTGCTTGCTTACCTGTACTCAATTTCAATTCTCCGGCCACCCGCCGCATCCTCAATTTCTGCTAATCTTTCACACTCCAAAGCTATCACTGACATCACTGTTCCATTCAACGATCAGCTTTCACGTTCCAATTCATGGAGAAAATGTTGAATAAACTAATAAAAGAATCCTGGCATTCCGTGCCGCCCCTTAGTTAACGACACTTTGTAGCGCAAAAATCACGGCCGGCAAGGCAAAAGTGGCGGAAACAACGGCTTTCTGCTCCCTCTGCTCTGCCGGTGCGCCGCAAAAGATAAAAGAATCTCCACTATTTTACTTCTATGTTCTGATTATAACTTTCGACAAATTAATTATTACGTAGTATTATTATTATTACTTCATTGTTGGAGGTAACCGTAGAGGACTAAATACACTGAGGCAACTTTCGGTACCGGTTATAAACTATGTGGCCGGTGTCGAAGTCCATTATGCCTTTAAAAAGAAAAACTTAGGGATCACAACATTGTCTAGCTAATCCTAAACCCACATGCCCCTGTCCTTAGAGTTCCAATCGTTATATCCTACACCACGGCGCACATAGCATTGTGCGCCGCGCGCTTCCCAAAACGACGTCGTTTTGGGGTAGTGTTGGGAAGCGCGGTAAGAAGTTGCTGAGATTATGTGTATTTGTTCACAATGTTATGTGTATTGGTTCATACAGTTATGTGTATTTTTTATACAATTATGTACATTCTTTTTATACAATTATGTACATCCGGATCAGAAAATTTGTGTGTATTATGTTAAGAGTTGATGTGTATTATGTTAAAAGTTTATGTTTATTATGTATTATGTTAGATTATGTGTATTATCTTTTAAAAAGAGTATGTATATTTTGTTATATAATTATGTACATTCATGTATAACATTATGTGTATTCTAGTATAACATTATGTACATTCTTGAACAGCGGATTTTTTTTTTAAAGAAAAAATTGCTGCCATTCACTGGGGCGGGAAATTTCAAAAAAAAAAAAATAATTAAAACGACGTCGTTTTGCATCTGGGCGCATAGTGCAACGCGCGCCGTGGTGTAGGATATAAATTGCCTTAGAGTTTCTATGGAAGTAAATCGCGAGTCGCGCAATCAACCCATCAGTCAGATCTTAGTTTTCATGTGCGTACAAGGATCCAATAAGACTTTTCATTATTTTTGGACCTTTTTTCATACATGTTTTCAGTGGGATTCGAACCCCCACATTACCGTCTCCAATAATGACTTTTAAGTCCAACTAGCAATATAACTAAGTTCTTTAGAGCATCCACATTGGTGGAATTATTTTCCTGTTTTGGAAGAGTTTTTGTAAGTGTGTTTAGGAAAGAGAATATGAGAAGAGGAGAAAAAAGAAAAGAAAAAAAAAACAAAACCAATTTTAAAAAATAAAAATAAAAAATTAATGGACCTATCAGGCGCACTTGAAGCACCCAGTGTAACAATTGCTGCGCGCGCAACAGCTCTCTCCTCATTTATTTATCTTCCCTTGGGAAGAGAAATAACTCACATGTTGCAGAAGCTCCCCACCCTCTCTCTCTCTCTCTCTCATCTCTCTCTGCCAACTTGGCATATTGACCTCAAAATTAAAGATGTGAAATAACTCTCTATTCTTCTCTGATAATGTTGTTCTTATGGTATTTGTCCTGGTCTCGGTGTCAACTCGCAGAGCATAATTTTGGAGACCCTTGGTCAACACGCATGGTCCTTGGCTAGGGTTCTCAAAATGTTGACAGACGTTACCTATATTTAATATGGCATTAATACCATCCTTTGTATGATTATTTGTCATTAAAAGGTTGGTTAATAATTAGCACGACTTGTATGCTATAAAATAAGTCTTATGTAATACGTCTTACGTGAAGCGGTATCACACAAAACCTACTCCATGCTAAATTGTATTCAACTGTCGATAAAAGAAAGGGAATGACATATTCTCATTACTAAAATTACCGAATTATGTCTATGAACGCTTTATAACATTTCATTTACATATTTAATTTTCACAAGAGAACCCTAAACACACAATTAGGAGGATTTATATTGTATCGATCCTAATAAAACAACAATCGTCAAATGTTTAATTAAATGAATGAGTGATAGGTTAGACACTGACGGTGTAGTATTCGGCTTCGGCCCGGGTGGTTGGACTTGGCCCAAGTGATTAGCCTAGATCAAGAATAGCCTGAACACATTATTATTTTGGTCTAGTTATCTCATTTAACTACTTTCATTGTAATTAGTGACCCTGATTGAAGGGATTTACTTTTTATATTCACTTCGAGTCCTTAATTTGTAGATTGAACTATATAAATACCTTAAGAAAAGGACTTGTAGGACAGATTCTTTTTTACTTAGAGCAATAACAACACCCAATTACTTCCAAATTTTCTTTGTTTTCGATTAGTTGAATCGACTAACCGTCAATTGTCTAGATCGTAAAATCAACAAGCATATATACGTTGTTGCCTATGGAGTATACTATATTACATTATGTGAAGTAAACTTTAGAAGAGTAAATATAGGGATTCATCCCCATGTGATAGGGGATGGGTCCTTATTTTCACCTAATTAATTAGGAACCCTACATATCATAATGTACATGGCTTGGATGTCGTCTGCTGCCCACGTTACAACTTACAATCACATGTTTTACACAACTGATTTCAACATAAAGGGGCATGGATGAAATATTTAATTAGGAAAAGGACCTCCAACTTATAAACATTTTAATTTAGTACAACGTGAATCATACATCGAGGTGGGGCTGATTGGCTTATATACTTTAATCTCACGTTTTGCGCTTAAACATTTAATTAGGGATTATTATATTACCAAGGTCATCAGTTATAGATTTTCTTTAAAAGGAGACGAGATTGCTTGATTGGAAAAAATCTTGGGTTTCAGATCATGTGATAAAAAAGAGATCATTAAAAACTTTAAATATAATTAATAATTACATAAAAAGAAAAAAAAAAAAACTTGGCAATATATGATTAGTTGATAAGCAAACTGTTGGTGCAATTATACAGTTAAAATTTTGACAGCAGAGTCCAAATTTACAAGCGCATGATTTTTTATTTTTATATTTTTAAAATTTTTATTCTCATTATATGATCATACGTAACCAAACATCAATATTAGTAATCATTCAAATTCTATTCTATTACCAAATATGCAAAATACTTTTACAAAAACTCATTACCATTATTAAATATTTGATTCCTATTTCGATTTCGATTTTTATGTGCGAACCCAACACACCTAAAGTGTGGCTTTTGTACTTGGTGTGTGAACGTAACGTGTGATGGACTGATGGGTACTCCTAATCAAGCTTTAATTATAGCAAATGAATCTTCCTATGATCTTATCTTGATGGCGGTATATCTAATCTTGATTTTACTTTTCACTAATAATAATCTCTTAGAAACAGTAGAATTGAAATGTCAAATTGATTAAGATCAACATAGACCTCCACAATCCTCAGCACCAACGTCACAGTGAGTCTAAAAGGTTGTCTTATTAGTTATTATTACTATCATTAGTCTAATGTTAATCTAGTATCTTAGCATAATTAAACCAATCAACTTTCCTTGACTTTCGTGCATGCATCAGCCACCCCATGAGTCATGCCATGCATGCACCTTCCGCAATTCATGCATGCATTTTCCTCTGCATTCAAACTTGGTCTAATGGTCTTCCCCTTCTAGGATCAATCCATTCACAATTGAACCTTCCTCACTTCTTGGGGTGCTTTAATTTGATAGCGACTTTTGAGTCAAATTTGGATATAATTTTCACTTTGATTAGAGTCGAATCTCAACAACTGACAAAATCAAAGTTCAATCATTAATATATATGGCTGAAAAGGTAGTTGAAAATTGAAAAGGAACTGGAAGCTTAAAAACTATAAGCTAGGAGTTGAAAACTGAAGAGCTGTTATGCTTGAAAGTGTTTGGTAAAAATTAGCTTTTTGATAAGTTGATAAATGTAAAAAGACAAAAAATGACATCTTCATAAAATTTAAATTAGTTTATTTACGTATTAAAATGTAACATTTTATCTTTAAAAAAATTAATATTTTAAAATAAAACTAGCATAATCATGGTCTAACATCCCATAATGAAGTAGGAATATTGTTGCGTACCTCCTTCATCTAATAATAATAATATTTAGGGTGAACATTGCGGATAAAGGAGAAGGGAAAATAGTTTTAATTGGAAAGGGTAATGATGTTTTTTCTTTAAAATAATAAGGACAAAAAATTAAGAAACTATTACCTTATTTTGAAAACGTTCCAAAATAAGTTCTTATTTGAAGCTATGGGCTTATTTTGAAAACATTACCAAATAGAATTTATAATTTATTAGTAGTTTAAAATAAGTTATAAGCTCTTAAATAAGCTCTGTTGTCAAATAGAGCATAAGAGTTTTTTAGTGTGGGTAAAGGTCATAATCCAATCCGTGTGGGGAAATTTGTAAATAGGAGAAAAGTCGAGGATTTCCCACCTTAATGCCCACGTTTTCCAAACTGGTGTACTCTGTTTCTCCACGTGCTGTTTTTCTTCATTACCAAACTACTTGCAATATTACTCCTACACGCATTTTACGTCACTACGTATGTTCACCTCATTTCTCATTACAGCCTAACCCCCCACCCCCCACCCCCCACCCCCTCCCAAAAAAGGTCAAAATAATTATTTTTTAAACAAAAAAAAAAAAAAAAAAAAAAAAGGAAATTCCAGCCGTGTATATATATACCACTCCATATAGGAGACTCTGTGTTAGTTGTCTTGGTTCCCATACCATTTTCCATTCAAGAAAACAAAAAGCTTCGGAATTTCAGAGCTTCAGAATTCGACGATCTGTTCGACTAGAAGAGGTGCCATGGATTGGGTTCGCGGCGAAACGGTGGGGCGTGGGAGTTTCGGGAAGGTGAGCTTGGCGGTGCCGAGAAGCCACGGGATCGCCGGAGCTGCGCCGCCGATGGTTGTCAAGTCGTGCGGGGCTTCATGTTTTGATTCGTTGCTGAACGAGAAAGCTGTACTGGATGAACTCCGAGGTTGCCAGGAGGTTATTCGGTGTTTCGGAGACGGATACAGTTTCGAGAACGGCGAGAAGTTGTATAATGTGTTGTTGGAGTTTGCTTCTCAAGGTGCTTTGGCGGATAAGATCAAGAAATCGGAGAATCATAGGTTGTCGGAAATGGAGATTCGGCGGTATAGCAAAGCTCTGCTTCGCGGGCTTGGGTATATTCACAAGGTTGGGTATGTTCACTGTGATATTAAGCTTCAGAACATTCTGTTGTGCGAAAATGGTGAAGTTAAGATTGCGGATTTCGGATTGGCTAAGAGAAATGGGGGAAAGAATTTGGGGTGTGAATTGAGGGGTACGCCAATGTATATGTCGCCGGAGATGGTGAACGGCGGTGAGCAGGGTCCGGCGGCAGATATATGGGCACTTGGTTGCGCGGTGGCGGAAATGGCCGGCGGAGCTCCGGCGTGGAAGTTCTCCGAAGTGGCGGAGCTTTTGATGAGAATCGGGGTCGGCGAAGAGATCCCGGAAATTCCCGGTAAATTGTCGGACGACGGCAAGGATTTTCTGGAAAAATGTTTTATAAAGGACCCAAGAAAGAGATGGACGGCGGAGATGCTCCTGAATCATCCCTTCATTTCCGGCGAAGACGACGGCGCCACTGTTTCATTGAGAAATGACACCCACAGGGAAGCTTCAGCTCCAGCTCCATCGCCTTCCCCTAGATGCCCTTTCGATTTCCCAGATTGGGTGTCGGAATCAGATCACCTCCAATCCTCAATTACATCTTTACCCCCGCCGGAATCAGAATATTCGCCGGCGGACAGGCTGCAGGGAATAGTCAGCCACCAATCCCCCAATTGGTCTCAAGATTCCGACGAGTGGGTCAACGTTAGATGATGTCAAATGTCAACTGTCAACCTCCAAAAACTTCAGAGTTGCAACGATTTTTTTTTTGGGCGGCTCTGATATTTTTAGCAGCCAGCGTGAATTTTGTTCATTAAATTTTTTGTTTTTTTAATGTACATAAAATAGAGGGTAGATACAGAGGATGCTGGCGGGTAGTGGCAGTGTTTTGACTATAAAGTCAATAGTTTCAGATTTTACAGTGAAATGAATGAATGAATTGAATCTATCGAAATCAAATTGTTGTTAGGCCATTTGTTTCAGATGTCATACGCAACTAACACCCATTCTTCCATCTCCCAACTTGCAACTCCCATAATGTCATGCCTCAACGCCCAAGAAATTCGAACAAATCCCTTTCCACACACCTTTTAGTTCCAATTTCTTTTCAAAAAATTCTGTTAGGTAGCGTGATTGATTGTTATAACTTTTGATACCATCTAATTTAATAAGTCGACGTGATTGATTAATTGAAAAATTAACACCAAATCTTGAGATTCCAAAACTCGTTTGGATTATACAAGTATATATATATATATATTCTGTTGTTCATAAAGCAGTCTGAGTTGCTCATAGCTAATCAGTTCAAATCAATTCAGCTAATAAATAGTCTAATCAACTCAGCAATGATTATCTTTCCACACTTTTTTATCACACTTTTTTGCGTCAATGGTTACGCCGGCGATATGATAGAGTCACGATAAGTATGAGAAGTTTCGAAAAGATTGTTATTTTATATTGGAATTGTGTTGTTGGGAGATAATGGAGAAGCTTTATTATCTTGATGTTTATCAGGTGTGGTATGACGATTGGTGCAAATTGCACAATCAAGTTGCGTTGGGATTTTTGCTGCCTTTTTGTAATGCCTCAACGCTATAAGCAACCTCCAACCGACCTCACTGCTGCACTTCTGTGTTGGGGCAAGAATCTCAAGTTGATTTTTTTATATATTTTTTATTATTTTATTGGCATAAAATATTTCAGTTTCGCCGGAATAATCATGATTCATGAGTCTTATAAACTCACCCCTATGTCTATGAAAAGATAAATTAGCCCGTATGGGTAGCTCAACCGATCATAGAGGTGAAACTTTAGAAGAATGACCAGGGATCGAGTCTCACTAGCGGCAGTGTGGGAGCAACCTCTCAAAGTGAGAGGGGCTCCTTTGTGCGTTTAAGAAACCCAATCTAACCCTAATCAAACTTGGGGTGCCCACTGCAAGGAGGATGGTACCGTGCTGTCCTTGAGATGAGAATATCCGCGAGAGGATGGTTTGATTCCCACCATTCAATGATTCCTTTTGAGCAATCCTTATACCATGGACCACCGTTCACAGTCCCGGATGGTTTGATTCCCACCATTCAATGATTCCTTTTGAGCAATCCTTATACCATGGACCACCGTTCACAGTGGACTGTGAACCCTGGTGCATGTGTATGTATCTTATGTAAATTTTTGTATTTTGTGTTATAAAATCTTTTACATGAAATAAATTGGTAATTATATCTTATGTTATTAATTTCTGTGTTTTGTGTTGTGAAATTCTATGATTATGAACACAAATTATGTACCTAAATCAGATTTGAATATATATATATATATATATATATATATATATATATATATAACATGTGTATGTGTCTTGTATTATAAAATTTTGTACTTTACGTATATAAATTTTGTACATCATTGTTTTGATTTAAGATCCATAACGTTATGTGGATCCCGTCTATTGATATAAATTGCCCCTTTTGAGGTTGTAGGCCAGTGGACAGTATAGCCCATAATAGAAGGAAGTTCATCATATGCAGCTTAGCTTGAATATAACTTGAAATGTATGGGGTAATGAAGCCCAATTATGGGTTTGAGCAATTGAGTAATGGGTATCACATAAGAATGGGCCACTCTAGTTTTACCCTTCTATTATTATTCTTTAGTCTTTCAAATTTTATTTTATTTTAAAGCAAAACGGCTAGAATATATTAACTCAAAAGAGCTATAACAAAGTAAGGGGACAGAGTCCTAATATAACGAATTAGCATGAGTAGAGATTTTTTAAGCTAAAGCATGAGCAATCAAATTTAAATGTCTAGGCACCAAAAATAAAGAACATGAATGAAATAAAGACATTAAACGTAAACAATCATCAATCACCACCACAGCATAAGATCTAGACGTGACGGTCGGAAACGTAATATAGCGGTGAAGAACCAAACAATTCGTGTGCAGAGCCACCGAACCAATACTACGATCTCTAAGTCAAGAGAGGACTTCTTTACATGCCAACGACTCAATCATAAGGGAATTAGCACAAATCGGGAGGGCTCCATTCGTTGCCGTCACAAAAGACCCATCGGCAGAAAAGAGAACCGCTCCAAAATGCTTTAAAAAGTCTTAGCAGTGGTCCTTAAATAAGATTCCGTTAATATCATAGTGACCAAATTATTGGTCTTCCTTTCCTTTAAAAAAAATTTATTGGGCTTCATTTGGTATGTAGGATTGAAAAGGATGACAAATGAGTACTAGTTTACTTTGGCATGCAAACTTATAATCATATAAAAGAAGTAAATTTCATTAAATTCAATAAAAATAAGTTAATAAGAATTAAATCTGCAATCTTTTATTACAAAAAGCGTGCTCCACCCATTTGAACATTCTTTTTAATAAAAACAAATATTATTAATTGAATGACAAAAAGAAAATTATTATCACTACTAAGTCTAACCAAATTAAGTGGGATTGCCCGTATTATTCTTCTCCCAAAATGAAATGTGGCAGTGACAACACTCCATCTTTCATGTGGGGGAAAATAAAAAAGACAAGAAAAAAACAATTTCTCAGAGTTCATGTGTTTTCTCACTGGGGCATTCAATTCAAAGCAGCATCGGTCAACGCCGGCCCCACCACAATTCAAAGTCGGCATGAAACTTCTCCATGGCAGAAAACACAACAAAAGCCACCGTCAATTAACCGCCTATATTCTTTCCTGTTTTTTTTCTTCTTTCTAAGAATAATTGCACGATTTCCTCAAAGATATGGCCACGTTCATCTTCTTGGGCTCCATAACCACCGAGCACTGCACTCTTCTGTCGAACCGTGGCTTCACCAACCTGCCCAGTACATACGCCCTGGCTCGAACCATGAAGCTCAGCGTCAACGGCACCGGCGCCGTCGGTTTCCCGTCGTCGCTGCTCAGGCTGGCTCCCCCTCCGTACAACGGAATACCGCTCCCTCTCAGCGTCACCGTCACCGTCCTCTGACTTTTCCGGGATTGATAGAACTTCCTAATCTGTAAAAGAGCGAGTCAAGATTGTCATGGAAATGGGAACTGTTTTCTTGATTGTTTGATGATGGGGAAATTATTGTTCCTTACGGCTCCGGTTGCGACGGTGATCTGTGAAAAGGAGAGATCGAACGGCGATGACGTCACATGCACCCCGAAAAATGTGCCGGTGTTGCGGAATAAAAGCTTGACTGTAGAGTTCATCGACACCATCTCGGTAGCAACGCCGGAATTATCCATGCCGGCGTGGATCCCAAATTGATCGAACGAAATGCTCTGCAAGAATTCCCGGAGATGTTAATTGAATACAATGTGATTAACAAGAACAAGAAACAATAATAATAATGGCAAAAAGATAAAGAAGATAAGATTTATGTGGTTCGGATAATGTGCCTACATTCACGGAGTGAAACTGGTAACACAACCTTTATAGATACAACTATAGAAAGATCATATATTGATATTGTACAGATTGGGGTAGAGTTCACTAATATAAATCTTGTCTTCTTTACTTTTCTGTCATGGAAAAAATGTTAAAAATCGAATACCTTGAGTGTAATGTGGGGTTTCTGATTCCGGCTAGCACCCCACAAGATGAAGGAGAAGGAACCGAACAGCAGGAAGAAGCCGACAAGGAAAGCGAGAAAGTAGTAGCACCGCCTTGGGAAGCCCGTGTGGCGGCGGTGGTCGTCAAGAAGGCCCTCTTCCTCAATGGCGTCGAATTCTTTGCGGGGGCGGTGGTGGTGTCGGCTGCTGGACTTGTGGGATCCGGGCTTGAGGGAGCCGGAGAAGCGGGTGGAGGAGGAGCCGCGAGAATGGCGGCCCGGTGACCCGGCGGGGCTGATGATAGGCGTAGAGTGGAAAGAGTTGGTGGTCTTCTCCCCGTCATGGGAGTCTCTTGAGGGGCTCTGCACATAGTAAACCGGCCGGTTGGGCGACGACGGCGCCAGGCTACTCGTCACTTCTGAATCCGTCTTATTATGATGCGACGACATTTCTTACCAGTGAACTCTGATGAAGAAGAAGAAGAAGAGGAGGGAAAAGTAGTGGAGGAGAAGATGAGAGAGAATGGAGAGAGTGAATAAATGGAGTCTGGAAAGGCCATTGATGAGCACGTTGCATTGTTCCTTTAGATTGGCAGAGTAGATGCTGCGTGTGATTTACATTAATTGACGGAGGCATGGGAGATGGTAGATTACTCATTCAGTCATTCGTATATTCTGCTTTACATGCATGCCGTTTGCTTATAACTTTTTGATATATATTAATTATATATTGCTACTACTACTAATATTCTGCATCATTTGTTGATTATATTAATCTATTGTTGGGGTTGATTGCAGATGTTGTATTTAATTTATTCCACACATGTTAGAGTATAATCTAATTAACTGCTTTAACTTTATATAATAACTAGGTTTATTGTAAGGTGAGGACAAGGGGTTCTATGATTGTACTCCATTGACTTGACTCTTGAATTCTCGTTACATGGTAGATCATGGTCTAAAAATAACTTTTAAATTCTGTATTTATATTTGACATATTATGTACTAGTTGATAGTTTTTGTACCTGTAATTATCATATTCTGTACCTTGATAGTTTTTATACATGTAATCAACAATTATAAAGTTACGGAGTATTTGTTTACATATAGAAGAAACATTTATGGGGAAGTGGTTTAAATGATTATATATATAAAGTTATTTTTTTAAAAAAATGTTTTGATCCACGTTATGAGTGGTTTTTATTTCTTCCCTCGACGACCGTTCGCATTAGAGTATGCGCGCGCGCGCACACACACACACATATATATATATAAGGATCATGTGAAGTAATAGGTTGCAGATAAAAGATGAAGAAAACTTTTTTGAAAAATACGGTGGCATTATGGTAATTTTGCATAAGTTCAAAACTTGATGTGCATATATATATATATATATATATATATATATATATATATATATATATTTAAAGCTTAAAGTGCGAAGTTAACTTGATGTGTATATATTTAAAGCTTAATGTGCGTGCATTTAAAGTTTAAGGTGTGTCACTTTCTAGTTTATGGTGAATCACTTTGAAATTTATGGTGCAAGTTTTAAGGTTAAGGTGCATACTTTTATAGCTTAAGGTTCGTAGTTTTATATCTTAACGTGTGTAGTTTTATATCTTAATGTGCATTAGTTTAAAACACTGCATAGTGCATACATGTTAGCGGAAAGTGCACTTTTTTTTTTTTTTTTTAATTTTCATTATTTTGAGTCAATGGCTCAAATTTGAGATCTTACCACATCTTTCACCTAGGAACTCCTTTAGAGACCACAAATGCAATTTTCCTATCTTATTACGGAGTATTTTTTTAAAAAAAAAAAAAAATCTTATTACGGAGTATTACATAAATTTTAAAACAAGAATAAAAAAAGCTGCGTCAGTGCACCTGCACAACGTACAGCGGCCGTTTAGTTTTGTCGGTTGCTAAAATTCGACAAAAGTCGCCGGAGTTTGGTGGCCTCGGCCACCCGGCCTGCTGCAAACCCGCCTACTCTAGTTTTTTTTTTTTTTTTTTTTTTTTTTTTTTTTTTTTTTGGAAAAAAGAAAATCCCGCCTACTCTAGTTAATTGTTCAACCATGGTCATTTTTATTTTACATTGTAATTATTACTCCGTAGTTTAGACTAGAGATAATATCTAATTTAGTCATTGACTATAATAATTTTTTTGATTTAGTCCTAAATAATTTTTTATGTTTATTAAGTTATCTATTTTGATGGTTGTATCCAATTAAGTTCTCGACAGTTAAAATCAATGATAAATTAAGAAAATTTACTATAGTCGGAGACGAAATTTGGTAAAATCACTATAGCCAAAGACTAACTTTAGTTAAACTACTATTGTTAATGACTAAATTGAGTATTAATACATGTGAAATTATCAAATTGTCTCAACAAATAACTCAATTGAATCACCAGGACTATGTGATCTAATGGTACCCGGGTTGGACTTCCATTTAGAAGGTTGTAAGTTCGAGCCTCAGTGGAGGCGTTATTAGCTCTTTGTGTTTCAGTAGGTTGAGAAAGTAGAAAGTATATGAATATATACTACAATCTAATAGAGCTAGTAGCATTCAAAAAATAAATACTTGATTAAGCACAAAAAGCCATTTAGAAATCAACAAAGAAACACGTGTTAGTCTAAAAAGAACAACCTTCCAAACAAGTTACTTTTGTAGGGTTTGAATAGAAATTTTTTTTTTTTTTTTGAACTCAAGAAAGAACTTTCCATTACAGATTAACCAAGTGCGCAATACAAACTGGTGGAACACCAGTCCAAACTCCCGAGACAGACATAGAAACTGTTGCCCGAGCAAGCTCATGAGCCACACGATTCACTGACCTCTTGACATGAGATATACTTACATTCCCAATGTCCCTAGCAATCGAAGTTTGAATATAATTTTAAGAACTCAATTGCACTATATGTTTAACTTAAGAGGTCAAGTTGACCATTTTCCAAATAATATAAAGAAAATGTCAATTATAAATTTATAATAAATAGAAAATATTTGAATAAATAAAATAATAATTTTACTTTCATTGTTCGATAAAAATATTATCATTTATAAAAATTTATAATAACTTATATTTTTAATATACAAGGTATTTAAAAAGTTATAAATAACTAGAGTTATACTTTACTTTCATGTGCTACTCCATATCATATCATATCGATGTGTTTGCTGCATCCAAAATCCTGAAAATGATTTGTTTTGAATGCAATTATGAAAGGGAAGAACAATGTTTTTTTCATCATCATTAATCTTTTGTCTGACTTATCAGCATATGTATATTATCAACCAACAAGGCAACAATTAAATTAATATTTGAGTTGAATTTTAATATCTAAGTCTAGTTTTATATGATTATATAAAATATTTTACTTGTCATATTTACTATTATTAATCGATCTAACACTTTTTTTATTTGATTATTTTTAAATATTTGTAAATTCAGCTTTTGTATGGAATAATAATAATAATAATAAGAAGATGCAATTTTTAAAAATATAAATTTTATACATTAATATTTAATTAAATAATAAATAACTACAATCAAATCTTGCCAAACACCTTGCATTCAGATGACATGTAGTGATCACTCTCATGTGGGAGTACATGAGATCAAGCCTCATCTACATTATAGAAATTGTAAATATAGAACTGTATCTGTGCTCACAGCATAATTTGCCCAATCCTTATACAATGGACTATAATTCACAGTGCACTGTGAACCTTGGTGCATATGTATGTCTCTTATATTGTGAGCTTTTGTATCTTGTGTTATGAAATTATATAACTTAAGAGTGTGAATTATGTACCTAAAATAAATAAATAATTGTGTCTTATGTTATGAATTTATTTATGTGTCTTGTGTTGTGAAATTCTGTGCTTATGAACACAAATTATGTATTTAAATCATATTTGAAAAATAAGTAAATACATAACATGTGTATGTGTCATGCGGTCTGATTTTTTGTGAATTGTACTTTGAAATTATGTACTTTACGAGTATAAATTACCTCGTCGTTTTGATAAAGGATCCATAATATATGTAGACTTTGGTACATGATATAAATTGCCATTAACCTATGACTCTATGAGTATATATTATAATTAAATATGAAAAACCAAGTAAGTAAATTATTAATTATTATACATTAAGTACTTGTTAAATTTGGTAATAATGTTATTTTCTTAAAAAAACAAAAACTTTTGATGATTGATGAGTTGTAAATTTAATTAAAAAAACAAAACAAAAAAAAAAAAAAAAAAAAAAAAGTTAAAAACCCAACTATGGTCCGATCTTTCTGTATAAAAAGACCGAATCATACTCTGATCCATAATCCACTCCACTTATTGCACTTGTCAAGCTCACCACTCTCACAAACCCATTCCTGATACACAAACAGAGAAACTTCAAGAAGCCATGAAAATTATCTTCTTCTTCATCATCTTCTTCTCCATCGCCGTCTCTTCCATTCTTGGATCTGTAAGTTCACCCTCTAATCTCTTTTTTATAAGTTTAGATCAAACGGATTGATGCGATCGAGTTTAACCACCTCCGATCATTCTGTTTTTGTTGGTCTTTTAAGCCACCGGATTGTGTGTACACGGTTTTTGTGAGAACTGGATCGATCGTGAAAGCGGGGACAGATTCGAACATTACATTGACTCTGTTCGACGCCGATGGGTATGGTATCAGGATCAACAACCTGGAGACTTGGGGCGGGCTTATGGGCCCGGGATACAACTATTTCGAGAGGGGGAACCTGGACATCTTCAGCGGGCGCGGGCCGTGCCTGTCTCGGCGGGTCTGCTACATGAACCTCACCTCCGACGGCACCGGCCCGCACCACGGCTGGTACTGTAACTACGTGGAGGTCACCGTCACCGGAGTCCACCAGGCGTGCTACCAACAGCTATTCACGGTGGAGCAGTGGTTGTCCACCGATACGTCGCCGTATGAGCTCACCGCCATCAGAAACATTTGTGAATCTGATGCCGCTAAGTCTCTTCCCGTCGGCGCCTCTGAAACTGCTGGAATTGTAGCTGTCATGTGAGAGAGTGGTGTTGGACTTTTGTATCAATGTCACATGGGCTGTTCCGGACTTGGGCCCGAGTTCTCATATTCGGCCCTCTTCGTACTTTTGAAATAATGAATTTTGTTTTTTTGGTGTCATATATATATATATATATATTTAATACTATCGATTTTATTACAATGTAATATCTGTTCAACATACTTTCTTTATCCCTCTAACCGAGAGCCAGAAAACTAATCTTTAAGGGACGAGGTGTTGAACCACCACGTTAATTGTGTTGGTTATAATTTGAGTTAATACCCAAAATGATCATCCAACTATTAGCTAATACTTGATTTTGTCCCAAAGAATTAAACCTACTTAATTTAGTCTATTAGTTTTCAATCGGTACCTAATGTGATCCTCTGTTACAATTGCCATCTATCCACCGCTAAGATTGAGGGCATAAGCGTCATTTTAGTTGAGGTCAAACATGTTTCTTCATATTCTCGCCGCTACTCAGCCCAGAGGTATCTCCGCCGGTGGGAGAGTCATTCAAGTCAAAGAGCAAACCCGAGAATCAATTGGCATCCCTGAGCTACCCGTCTACTAATCACCAAAATCACCTCATGTGGTTGAATCCCCAGAATATTCCATTCAAATTATCTCCCAAACCCAAAAAATATCTTCCAGATTTCACCAGAACTACGTGGACCAAAAGTGGCGTCAAAGTTCAAACCTCTATTTTCTTCTCCTTCTGAAACTTCCCCGACCTCCATCCATTCTTCCTCAAGCTTTCATTTTTACGGTCCCCTTAGATATTTTGTATGGAACCCATCACCGACCCCACAATCGCCGCTCAGCCGCCTCCTGTTATCATATATACCCTTTCATCCATCGAATCTTTGATACCCACTCTACTGTGTTGTAATTTTGAACAGAGAGAGTTGTTTCAAAAATGGAGTCCGGTGGGGGGTCGTCCCATTCGTATTACACCATTCTTGGCGTGAGTGAAAGGTATTTCGACGAGGAACTACGATGGGCATATAGAAAAGTCGCTATGCAATGGCACCCGGATAAGTGGATGAAGAACCGTCGTTTTTAGGGGAAGCCAAGCGGAGGTTTCGGTAGATTCAAGAAGCGTATTTCGGTAGTTAACGGGGAGGGAAATATTTTTGGTTTCTTGATTTGAGTATTAGTGATTAATGCTAACGTGTTGGGTGTTGTCGTGTTGAACAGTTTTTTCTGATCCAAGGAGGAGGACTCTGTACAATGCTGGTTTGTATGATTCTCGCGAAGATGACGACGAGGTTGAGGGGTTCGCAGATTTTGTACAGGAAATGGTGTCTCTCATGAAGGATGTTCGGAGAGAGAGGTAAGAATTGGAAGCTATGCTCATGTTTTACTTCGCTTTTCCTGTTAGAATTTGCAATTGCATTGCGTTTTGTTAATATGTAGTCTCTCAGCATCCCTGCTCCACTGCCGAGTGAAAGACGTTCGCCAGGTGCGGCGGAAGACCTTTGAACAGTCGGCGAGCAGAGGAAGAAAAGGGTTTGACCTCAATTAAAATGACGCTTATGCCCTTAAATTAAGGGTGTATAGACGACAATTTTAACGGCAGCTCACATAGGGTACCATTTGAAAACTAAGAGGACTAAATTGAGTATGTTTAATTCTTCAGGACAAATCGAGTATTAGCTAATAGTCAGAGGACCATTTTAGGTATTAACTCGTTATAATTTAGTAATTGACTATTTAAATTTTATTTTTTTGAATACAATTCACTCTATTACAAGGTAGGTAGTATCTGTTCTATACTTTCTCTATCTATTGCAACCAAACGAGACGAGTTAAGACTCCATCACCAGAGTTCGATTCTGTGACACAAGGTGCTTGGCGACTGTGTATAACCACATTTGGTCTCTGTCATTCAATTTTTGTGTATAACCACATTTGGTCTTATCATTCAATTTTCCTGCCAACTATTGTTATTGGAAGGAACATTGTATTTGTGTCTTCCCGGAATCCATGAGAGTATTTTTTTGAAAGCCAAAAACATTGTCATATATTAATGAATGAACGAAGCAATAGAGTTCCAATACAAAGTTTGTTCCTGATCAAAAGCTACCGAAACTAAAGTATGAGCATGCAAATTAACTGATCTAGACACAACATTTAATGCACAATAATAAAATAAAGATATTGATGCCTAGCACTGGTCCACAACCATCCCAACGTAAGATAAGATAGTCGTAGGACTTGAGTGCAAAGAACTTCGTAACTCTGAGCAATATGTGAGGAGATCCACATCTAATTCGTTTCGTTCCCTGATCCTAGATAGAGCTTCTTTGCAAGCGAGTGCCTCCGCCATAAGGGTGAGAAGCAGCCCGGGAGTTTGCCGTTTGTCGTCGCTTTGAACGAGCCATCCGGCCTGAGCAGCACCACACTATACATTGCCTCCCCGGTGGTCGACAAGTATCCCACATCGACAAAGCACCGCGGCGTTTGTCGTCGCTTTGAACGAGCCATCCGGCCTGAGCAGCACCACACTATACGTTGCCTCCCCGGTGGCCGGCAAGTATCCCACATCGACAAAGCACCGCGGCGTTTGTCGTCGCTTTGAACCAGCCATCCGACCTGAGCAGCACCACACCATACGTTGCCTCCCCGGTGGCCTGCAAGTATCCCACATCGACAAAGCACTGCGGCGTTTGTCGTCGCTTTGAACGGTCACTGCGGCTGAGCACGAGATACTTCCGTTTCTGCTGCTTCCAGCTGTTGCCGAGGAGTGCGATGATGGACTTGTGCGTACGCATGCAACGCGGCAGCAGCCCGCCTCCATAGCTGCTCTGGTCGTGACGACAATCCGTTCCACACGGTTGCATTCCGAGCGCTCCACACAAGTGATAAAGCACTTCAGTCAACTTGCAAAATTGTTCCTCTGTCAAATTAACCCGTGCACCCATGAGCCATACTGGAAAAGAATCATCTATAATATTTGTGATATGTAACTTCGTAATATTCCAAACTACTTTAGAATAATCACAAGTAACAAGTGAATGCATAACATCTTCATGAGTTAAACCACACATTGGGCATGTTAGATTCACCTCCATCCTCTTTATAAGTAAATTGTTTGTTGTAGGAAGATATCACATAAGGCTCTCCATAAGAAAGTTTTAGATTTTGGCGGGACCTTCAATTTCTATACGCAAATTGTTGGTGACTTTGGACCATGAGAGTATAGTTGGCTAAAAATGATTAAATTACATAATTATATACTTAATTATAAAATTTTAATGTTTAAAAATTAAATATAATTATGTATAATAGTGAAAATTTATTGGTTGATTAATTCGGGTAAAGTAAATGGAGAAGAGAATAAAAGGAAATGATTCAAATTCCTTGTTTAGGAAGAACGAAAAAAACAAAGGAAAATCCATAACTATTCTCCACATTTCTCAACCCAGAACGGCGGAGAAAGATAGAGAAACCACCCTCCAAATGCTCTAAAATGGCTTCAAATTATGATCCCAAGTTGCGGACATTCTCAATAATTTACACTTTTACTACAATTTTCTTTATTTTTCTGACGAAATCGCAATCGTCTGCGCAAATCCAACCCAAAAACGTAAGCCGCTCGGCGTCTCCATCCATCTATGATCTCCTGATCGCCAACGCTCTCCCGGCAGGCATATTCCCAAAGGGAATTTCCAATTTTTTCTATGACCACGCGTCCAGACGATTCGAGCTACGCCGCTCTCGCTCCTGCGCCGCGCGGTTCGAGAGCGATGTCTGGTACAACGTAACCGTCGCCGGAACCCTCAGCTTCGGCATGATTTCGCACCTTTCCGGTGTCGCAGCCCAGGATCTCTTCCTCTGGCTCCCTGTTAACGAGATACGCGTCGATATCCCCAGCTCCGGCTTGATTTATTTTGATGCCGCCGTCGTTTCAAAGCAGTTTTCTCTGTCGTTCTTCGAAATCCCACCGGATTGCAGGGCCCTTGATATTGAGAAGCTGGTGTCCTCTTCCCTTTCGTTGTTGCCGCGGCTACCTCAGGGGAACCTTATATTGTTCGGTGATCGTGGCCGGAAAATTGAGGTTTCAATTCATTTTCTAACCTATAAATTTTCGTTTCTATCATTACATTATATTGTTTTATTGTTGTTGCTGATCAGAACATTGAATTGAATCAATTTCTTTCATCAATTACTTCCTGTGTATTTGTCATGGCTTATACAGCAATTTTCTGCTCTGAATTTCATTGCAGGGTCAATCAAGGAAACTAATGATGCAAAGTTCTGGCACTGGGAGAGCTGTTTCCTAATTTACTTTCTGGTGGAAGAATGCCCAAAGTGAGACTATGATACATCACAGGTTCTTTTGGTTTCTTATTTTTTTCTCCAAGAATATATTGATATGTATGACTGCTCCATTGCATTGCACCTGCTATTTGCGAGGATGTTTGGCAATTTTGTAAGAGGGGAATGAAAACAAGGTACAAAGAACACGATTTCCCTGTTGATAATAATGTATAGTGAATTTGAAAGTGAGGTGTATGATCACGTATATCTATCTATGTACTTTTCTTTTTTAAATAAAAAATAAAAAAGGAACTCATTTTTTTCACATAGTAACCATTTCTATGGATCATGGTTTTTGTATTTAATTTTGTATAAAATGGATATAGCTTGCCCCAATGAAGTTTCTTGACCTAACAAAGTATTTAGGAGGATATAAATCATGTTTATTTAATTACTCACTAGACGGGCCATAATCCTCACACTTTGTTTGCTTTATGGATAATGTTTTTACTGGCATGTCAAGTTTTGAACATTAGTCTCGCTCCAAATATTGTCTATTGAACCAATAAGCTAAACCCGTGCAGACTACCCCGCTAAAATCGTGCAGACTACCTGATTGTACAGTGTATTGGTTCTTGAGCAAGCTAACAACTAATTCAAGTTTATTTTTGTATTCTCCCATCTTATGATGAACATAATTTTAATAGCTAATTCAAGTTTATTTTTGAATTCTCCCATCTTATGATGAACATAACTTTAATAGCTCTCCGTTTTGAGTATGATATATATATATATATATATATATATATATATATATATATATATATACTATTGATTCTTGAGCTTGGCTAACAACTAATTCAAGTGTATTTTTGTATTCTTCCCATTTTATGATGAACATATACCTTTAATAGCTCCCCGTTTTGAGTATGATATACATATATATATATATATATATATATATATATATATATATATATACACTATAGATTCTTGAGCTTGGCTAACAATTAATTCAAGTGTATTTTTGTATTCTCCCCATTTTATGATGTCCACGTCGAATTATCGTTCGACGATGGACTAGCTGTTTCAGCATGTAGAGTTTTGATGCGTTCTTTTACTTTTTGTTCTATTTCGTATGTTCTTCGTACTTCCAATTGTTTAGCACATTCGTTAGCGACAGCCGTTGGTACTCAGGCTAACTCTATGGTTTGGGAGGGCTTGCCTCCTGATTTTGTAACGGCTTTACTTGCTTAATATAAATGGCATTTACCCTTCAAAAAAAAATAGCTCTCTCAGCTCGTTTTGAGTATGATATATATTTGAGTACTAGTGATTTTGTTACAATGTAATCTCTTCATAGGTACTTTCTCAACCTATTGAGGTACAAAGGGACAATATTGCCCTATTGAGGATTGAATCCATAAGCTTTCATTTAGGAAAGCCACTTCGTGTCACTAGAAGAATTATATAAAACAATATGAATGTTATGGTGCAATTATCAATTCAATTTTTTTAATTCAAACAAAACACATTTACTTTGGGGATGATGATGAATGCAAACAGGAGAAAACTTGATTATTGCCCATATGGTATGGAAGACATGCTTGATCGTGAAATTTTGCATGCTACTTTGTCGCGCAGTAAGAGCAATTAGTTATGCTAGGGTCCACCCCTCCTCTCGATCGAAACAAAAAAAAAAAAACACATCTACTTTTTTTTTTTTTTTAAAAAAAAATCCAATAATTAACCATTATGGTTTCAGGTCATGAAAATTAATAATGCTCATAAAATTGAATTAAAATCGAACTAATAATCTGAATTTTGAAGTAATACTATTGCATAAGATTTTACACCAAAACTTGATTCAATTTGTGGGGCATAATATGACTTCAAAGTTCAAAAAAAGTTCAAATGTATAAAAATAAGGGTTAATACCATCTGAGGTCCTCCAAGTATAGTGATTTTGCCATGTTTAGTCTTAAACTTTCAAATTGATCATCTGTGGTCCTTCGACTTTCAAATTTAACCATTCGTGGTCCAAGTTAACCACCCATGGTCCTTCAACTATTAAATTTTAACCAACCATAGTCCTTTCAAGAGGACCACCACTGATTAAATTTCGAAACTTGAAGTACCATGGGTGGTTAACTTGGACCACGATGGTTAAATTTGAAAGTCAAAGGACCACAAATAGTCAAATTGAAAGTTTAGGACTAAACGTGGCAAAACCATTATACTCGAAGGACCTTAGATGGTATTAACTCATCAAAATAAATTTAAATGAATATTAGTAAGTCAGGGGAAAAATACCAGTGCAATAGATATTTGTACCATTAGCTCTTTAAGTTGTATTATAGAAAATCTCAAGAAGAAGCGTTCAAATTCTTGATAAATACAGTCAAAATCCCTGAGAGTAAGACGGCCAAAACCCTTTTCGCAATGGCTTCCACCATTCTGTTCCGCCTCTCTCTTCCGCTGAACAGACCACCATTGACCACCACCAAAGCCACCTCCGGCGACCGCCATTCCTATCACCACCGCCGCCTCCTCCTCCCCCATCCTCTCAAACCCATCTTACCAAAACTCTCCCAAATCCGATCCCCACCCAAGCCCACCACGACGGCCCCCATCACCGCCTCCTACAGCACAACGCCGGCGACAGACCGCCTAATCTCCGCCGTGGCCTACTTCCTCCCCTTCTTCAACGGCCTCCAATACGGGCGATTCCTGTTCGCCCAATTCCCAGCGCTGGCCATCCCATTGGAGCCCATCCTCCCACTCCTCTCCCTCTACCGCTCCATCCCTTTCGCGAGCTTCGTCACCTTCTTCGCCCTCTACTTGGGCATCGTCCGCAACCAGAGCCTGAGCCATTACGCCCGCTTCAACGCCCTCCAGGCTTTGGTCCTCGATATCCTCTTGGTGGTGCCGCTCTTGCTGCAGCGGATCCTCTCTCCGGGCCAGAGTGGTATTGGGCTCAAGCTAACGATTTGGCTCTATAATGGGCTTTTTCTTTTCGTAGTGGGCTGCTTTCTTTATGGGCTTGTTTCTAGTATCATTGGCAAAACCCCTTACTTCCCCCTCGTCACTGACGCTGCCAAGAACCAAATGTAGTTGTAGTAGTAATAATATGATATTTTGTTTTCTTATGTAATGAATGGTTTTATTATTTATTCAATTTTCTTTTATTGCGTGCATTTTATTTTACAAGGATTGGTAAATAGCTGTTAGCTGATTGAGTTAGTGAGTTTAATTCATTGATTGATTAGCTGATCATAAAAAAAATATTTGATAAATTAACTGTTAACTGCTTACATACGAAATGATACTCTGAATAACTTTTTAAATTTTAGTGTTTTAGAGCAATAATTTTGATAACTACGAGCTTAGTCAGGTCAATTACATATATTTGACTCAATTTTCTGTGGTCCGAAACAGTTTTATTCTCGTTTATTGTTTATCCTAACCCACTTGCAAAGTACTCCTAAAATCTGAACCATAAAAAGGAGAGGGAAAAATCCAAAAAATAAATATATAAATATGTTTTCCTGCAAATACCACTTTTTGTGGACCAAAATATAATTTCCAATTCATTTTTAAAGTAAATAATTTGTTGTGTCACGTACTCACGTCCACGTTTTGCACCTGCATAAAATTAGTGTCTTACGAGAGCAAAACTTCTTAAAAGGTTTTAATTAATAATTTTTAATTTAAAAACACTTATATTTGATAATCTAACTATTATTACCAGAAAAAAAAAAAAAAATTCGGTCTTATTTATCGGAAGATCACAGAAAATCCAATCCGAATATGCGATTTCAGAGCTTATTTCCTAGTCAGACGAAGTTAATTCCCAAACGCAGCCCTGCCACAAGATTGAAAAGATCCGAAGGGCATATTTGTCCTTTCGCATAACGTATCTAGCGATCCGCGCTCTCCGCCACCTCTTCTTAAGCTCCTCGCCGCCGCGCATCTCTCTCTCTGTGTATATACAATTTCTGTCTTTGTAAGAATCTGTAATGGCTTTACAAGTTCAAGTTGATAGGGCGGCGTTAAAGCCGGTAATGTTGAGTTCTTCGAGCAGGTCCACCAAGCAGTTTGTGGTCAGCGTCGCAGTGGATCGTAGATACAACAACCCCGCGGCGTTGAAAGCTGGACGGCGTCTGAGCTTGAGGGTTAAGGCGAGCTTGGACTCTACAGCTACGGCTACTACTACTCCCGCGTTGGGTAAGGTCACCGAGGTTAACAAAGATACCTTCTGGCCTATCGTCGAAGCCGCTGGTGAGAAAGCCGTCGTCCTCGACATGTACACTCAGTGGTAACTCTATCATCCCTCCTCTTACTGTTCCGTGTAGAATCCTTCTGTAAAATTATTGTTATGATTGCGAGAAATCTTGCTCTGAGGTAATCTGAACCAGTGGCCTCTCAACTTAATACAGTTATGAGTTTAGTTTAGTCTAATCATTTCCTAATCTAATTTTGTGCTCTGATAGTGGAGTAGCTGCATAATATGACTGATAGTGTGAAAAATTAGGTTTTGTTAGGGAATAATTTTGTTAAGAGTGATAAAGTAAGATAGAACATAAGGGTTTATAAGTTAAACTAGCTAATTGGATGGATTTAATTTTTGCTAATTGAATGGATTCAATTTTTTAGTATGGTTTAACCCAGGTGCATTATAACCCAATTGAATAACCCTAGCCCAAGTTTCTAACAAATTTAAGGGTCCATTTGGAAAGCAGAAAAATGACTTCTAGTTCCAAAAAATATTTTCCTTTCCAGTGTTTGGTTGCATTTTGGAAAATTTGGTGTCTTTAGTTGATTTTCTGGAAAAATGAGTAGAATTGTATGTTTAAACATTTTGGCGGAAAATGACTTCCCCAAATTTTGGCAAAAGTCATTTTCCGCCAAAATGGCTTTATTTTTCCAGTCAACAGAAAATGTTTTCCATTGACTGGATTTTCCTATTGCATTCAAACACTGAAAACTCGAAAAACATTTTCCAGTAGTCATTTTCCGGGTTTCCAAATGGATCCTAAAATGCATAATATGTTGGGAAAGTATTGTTGTGCTACTATAAATATTGGCTAGGTGTTTAGAAACATGCCGTGTTCAAGAACACTGCCTTAAGAGCAATTTTTTGGGAACGGTGCAATCGTATAAAACTGATATTGCTTCCCAAGGTTAACACAGTGCTACAATTACGTGCACCTGTAAACGTAGGTTCTTAGAACCTGAATTTTACTATTTAGCTCAGACTGATGAACATAGAATGAATAATTAAGAAGGGAATTAAATGATGATTGAAAGTGGATGATCCATTCTCGTAAATGGGATGGCTTTATATAGTGTAGTTAGACACTCTAATTTAGCATGCAAATCCACTAAAGAAGCTACTCCACAATTCTTCAATGAAAGATGTCCACATGTACGCCGTATAGGAAGCAACAGCCACAAGTACCATGGGAGGACACTACAATTTCAAAAAGAAAAGGAAATATAACAAGGATAAGGTTGGTCCAAATATATGCTGGTCCGAAATTATGCCAAGCAGTAATAATTTATCCAACATAATATGACTGATGGTGTGTAAAATTGACTTTTTGTAATCTAAGATGAAGCGAGCATTACAATCTTGTGTGGAATTGTAAAACATCTAATTGGTTTTGGACAATAACAGGGTGTTTTGTATTGGGAGAATCTGGCAACGTTCTGTGATGTGTTTAATGCATTTGTTTTTTATTTATTTAATTATGTCTATCTGTAGGTGTGGTCCTTGCAAGGTTATGGCTCCCAAGTATGAAGAACTGTCTGCAAAGTATCTTGATGTTGTCTTTCTTAAGTTGGATTGCAACCAGGATAACAGGGTATGTGCTCTACACCTTCTGACTTTCACCTCACTTATTAAGGAAAAATAAATAAATAATTATAGTCGATAAATTTTGACAGCCATTAGCAAAGGAGCTAGGCATAAAGGTGGTTCCTACATTCAAGATTCTGAAGTCTGGCAAGATAGTCAAAGAAGTGACCGGAGCGAAATTAGATGATTTAATAGCGGCCATCGAGTGTGCAAGGTCAGGCTAGAATTCTTTCGTCGTATGCTTTGCACAATTTGTTCATAATGAAATCTACTGGCATGAATATGATGTGTAATAAATTGTACTCTTTCTAGTTTTGTTTTTTGTGTATAGTGACAAATAATTTGATAAGGAAAACCTTTAGCCATGGTTCTCATATTCTGGATGGAGTTGGTGACATGGTCTAATGGTATAAGGTCATATGAACCCTGTAGTTTTCTTAACAATGATGTCTTTGGCTAAGGAAGCTACAAGAAAAGGGGTTAAAAAACATAATACTAAATGAATATAAGAAGTAATGTAATTACATCTTCTTATGTAATTCATTAATCCTCCCTCCCTAACAACCATCCAAAACTAAATATAATTACATTTTAAGCAGAAAAGTGAATGTAATCCTTGAGTATCTTTCATTCCCAGCCCAATCTATTCAATCCTATTCCCTAACATGAGTTTTGAAAGGATCCTTTCCCTTCTTCATAGTCTCGCTCTCTGGTTCAACTTTAAGAGCTGGCTATCCCAGACATCTTGGTTTTCATCTTCATTATCTGCAACTCTCTAACCATTTGAGTTTAGCCTTCAATATCCACCTAATGAAATCATTGTCAACATGTGTATATATAATATGATATATATTGTGCCCTTATAGTTATATAAGAAGCTACTTACAGGGGAGTTGATCCTGTCATGCTACTACCTTACTGAGCTGTATCTTGACCTCGTCTAAGATGCTGTAAACCTCCTCATTTTCTGGACACTCTTTCATCAAAGACTCACATTCTTGTATACAGGCTTTCAACTTCCCCATCTATATATCAATGAATCAAATCATCATATTATAACAAGTTTTCTAGCTAGACTCTGACTGACAGGATAAGTGGAGACTATACCTTGAGGAGACAGTCGCATTTTCTTAGTCTAGCCTTGATGAAAGATGGTCGGAAAGTAAGGGCAGCATTGCAGTCCTCGAGCGCTTGGTCGTACTGTTCAAGCTTTGTCCGGCAGGCAGATCGGTTTGACAGCAAGACAGCATTGTAGGGGTCATGTTCGAGTCCTTCCCCGTATGCAATACAAGCCTCTGAAAACCTTCCTGCCTTAAACAGTTCGTTGCCATTTGATCTTGCACTTGCAACAGCGCACATCTTCTTAGCCACCATGCTTGCTTCCTTGTTATTAGTGTCTAGCCGAGCTGCTTGTTCTGCTGCCTTCCAAGCTTCATCCACCCTGCCAAAGTGTTTTCGAGTTTAAACCTCATTTAACACATTTGCTGTCTGATTCTCTTCATCTCTTACATCATTATTTATTTAGTACTTAGTACTAACCTGCCAGCAGCCATGTCGACTTGAGCTTGTATGATCAGCATGGTTGCATTACCAGCAGGGCCAAAGAATTTGGTGCATTCATCAACATCAAATTTCGGGCCTTTCTGCAAAGTTTCATCTGCATCATGGTACCTATGGAGCCTTATCAGTGCCTCAGCTTTCAGAGCAAATATCTAATCAACAAAAAGAAAAAAAGAAATAAGGGCTTTGTTTGGCATACCTAACTTATAAGCTAGCTTTAAGCTAAAAGCTTAAAAGCTAGTCTCTAGTAGCTTATTTTGCAATGGTAGTGTCTCAAAATAAGCTATTATTTTAAACTATCCATACCAAACAGAGCTTATAGCTTATTTGTAACTTAAAATAAGTTATAAGCTCCAAAATAAGCTCTATCAAATATAGTCAACGTGATATGAAAACTCAAACAAAAGATGGCGATGCATAATTTGATGAATAGTTGGCTAACCTGTGGTGCAGAATCAGCACCAGCTGCTGATATAGCTAGGCTACTTTCTTTCAAAAGGGTGTTCCAATCTCTTTGCTTCTTAGCTTCAGTGCAGTTGGAGAGATGAAGTTGAAGATTTTTAGCGTTGTTCAGAACATCAGGATCTGCTTCATGCCCTGCCTGTTTGTAATGATGCAACGCGGTTTCTGCTTGACCTAATCTGAAAAATTATAGCAAAAGTAACAGTACATTATTATAAGCACATCCATAAATTTGGCAGTGATTACTTGACAAGGATTTAACCCCATTACCTGAGATATAGAGTTGCCAAACGATTATGGGCTCTTTGATATTGTGGTTGAAGCCGAATAGCTTCTCTGCATTCAAAAGCTGCTTCAAGAAGTCTCCCCAAAGCAGTGAGAGCTGCAGATTTGTTGCTCCTATAAGATGCCTTATTGGGATGAATCGCAATTGCTGCATCATACAAAGCCAAGGCTTCTGCAAATCTCCCATTCTTGTAATCCTCATTCCCCAAAACCTTCAACTCCTCAGGATCCATGGTGGTAGAAATAAGGGAGGGGGGAGCCTCTTCATGACCATATTTCCCATTCTGCTGCTCTTCCACAGGAGCCAAGGTAACAACAATGTTGTTGCTCCCAGGTTGTCTTAAATTCCCCAGATCCCCGTACAACATAACATTCCCGGAGGAAGCCCGGACTAAGTTGCTGGCCGCCTTTGACCTCTGATGATCAAAGATCATGCTGTCCAGCTCCCCTGAAATCCCCGTCGTCCCCTCTGGGACCTTCCTGCGTTCAGTGGAGCTTTTCTTGTCCTGGTTTTGGTGATTGTGAGGAGCAGCCGGCTTGGAATGGTTCGGGCCAGGGCGAGCAATGATTCTATCGGGCTGTTTCTGGGTGTTATTCAAAGCATCCCAGTTGGTTGGAATTCTTTGCATAGAATTTCTGTCATTATTATCATTGTGTGCACTGTGCGTTTTGAGTGAGCCTGTGGAGTTGGACCTCCTATGCCATTTACTCCTGCGCCTGAAAAACGCATTTAGCAACCCACAACCCGATGATTTCTTCTCAGGAGAGTTTCTCATATCACACACATTCAAGATTTTGATTAATCATTAATTGTATGTTTCTAAGCCTTCCCAGACTCAGTTCTTCTCAAAACAGTGAAAAGGAGATGGAATTGAATGAATTCTCACCGCCATGCATGCATGGAAAGGTCGTGCATATGTGTTAAATTTATCTTATGGAAAAAAAAAGTGTGTTTATGAAGAGAGAGGGGAATAGATTAGTTATGGGGTTTGGGAAAATTAGCAAATACCCCTCTAGGAGTTGGGTAAAACAATAAAATTTCTTTCCTTATATGCCCAATAAGGAAAGAAATAATCTTCCGTTCTCTCTCCCCCTCCCTCTCTCTGTATCTTCGGGTGAAGAAGATGGTGAGCATGAGGTAGAAAGAAAAGAGAAAAGTATAGTTGAAATGGAAATTTTTTTTATTTCTTTTGTTTTTCTTTTTTTTTTTTTTTTTAGTTCGAGTTCTACAATTTTTTGGATCACTTTTGTGTGGGTTTTGAATTTTGTGGGAAAGCTAGAATCTCGGTGATGGAAGAATTAAAATCATCTAAATATTTAGAGGAAGCAAAAGATATTGAAAACCACAATTTTAATTAAAAGTAGCATCATCTATAAAAGCCTGTCACCCTCAACAACTATATATATATAAAAACTCAATTTAGATGCACTGTCAATCTGTCATATATATAATATATATGATCGCTACCAGTGTGCCATAACAATATATAGCATAAGTTAAAGATGAATTAAAAATTCAAGATTGTCCATAACGAGGCTCTGGTTCCGCTTCATATTTCTCCACTGGGTATGCGGTAAGGTGCCTAGTCTTCATCTTATTTATGGCATTTGCTGGGTTGAGGCTCTTGGGACAACACGCCGCGCAGTTCTTTATAGTCCTGCACCTATACAACCGTTTCTGGTTCTCCGTTATCGCCTGCAATCTCTCTTCTGCATAATCGTCTCGGCTGCACCACATACATATAGACAATGTAAAAACTTGTGCCAAACTAATCAGCTTTGCTATTTTTGAAGAAAAATATACATTTATATAAAAAAAAAACAAATAAATAAATAAACCGGCCTGTCAGAAATCCAACGATAAGCGTGGAGCAACGCTGCCGGGCCGGGAAACTCCTCAGGATTCCACCAGTAAGAAGGGCAGGAAGTTGAGCAGCAGGCGCATAATATACACTCGTACAGCCCGTCTAGCCTTTTCCTCTCCTCCGGTGTCTGCCTGTATTCCCTTCCCTCCGGGGCCGCCTTTCTGGTCTTCAGCCACGGCTCAATTGACCTGCAGCATGTTGAGTTTGAGTTTGTTTCATATAAAGGAATTACTTCTGGCCCCTAGTACAGGAATTAGATGCCTATAAATACATTATATGTCATTATATAAGTTTGAGTTTGAGTTTGTTTCATATAAAGGAATTACTTCCGGCCCCTAGTACAAGAATTAGATGCCTATAAATACATTATATGTCATTATATAAGTTTGTCTCATATAAAGGAATTGCTTCTGGCCCCTAGTACAGGGATGAATTAGATATTATATGTCATTATATGAGTTTGTCTCATATAAAGGAATTACTTCTGGCCCCTAGTACAGGAATTAGATGCCTATAAATACATTATATGTCATTATATAAGTTTGTCTCATATAAAAGAATTGCTTCTGGCCCCTAGTACAGGGATGAATTAGATGTCTATAAATACATTATATGTCATTATATGAGTTTGTCTCATATAAAGGAAATTGCTTCTGGCCATAGTACAGGGATTAGATGCCTATAAATACATTATATGTGTGGTGTGGTCTTACTTGTATTGTTGGTAGAAGTTAGTGAGGTCAACCACCAAGTCTTTGATGACGAACATGTGCGGCAGAGGCGTGATCACCGTCGCCCTGCTCGTGTCTGTGTCTATTGGCTTCAGACACGCCACGGTATTGACGCCGTCTATGTTCATCGAGCACGACCCGCATATCCCTTCCCTGCAAGACCTCCTGTAACTCAAACTCGAATCCTCCTCGCCCTTTATCTTCTGCAAGGCATCCAGAACCATGGGGCCACAAGAGGATAGATCGACGTGAAATGACTGAAGAAATGGCTTCTGGTTGGGATTATCAGGGCTCCATCTGTAGATTCTGAACTCTTTCTTCTGAGATTGGATTCTCAACCTGTTTACGTGAGACTCAACAGCTTCTTCGGCGTGTTCTTGAGCAATTGGGTGGCCTTCTAGACTGGGAAACTTCTCTGATCCCTTTGATTCCCCGGCAGCTTTCTTGAATGAACCTCGTACACTAGTGCTCTTCTTCATCATCAATCCATTTTTCAACAAATTTCTCATCTTTAGTTCAATATCCTCCTGCGATCCTTTACTACTTAATTAATTATTTGTTATTACTCCCTCCTCTTGGATCATTCTAGCTTATACATATATACATATAAGGAGTGTTTGTTTTCGGTTGCATTTATTTATTTCTTTTTTGGTTTCTCTTAGGTGGCAGCAGCATGAGGGGTCTTTGCTTAGAAGAAGAAACGACACGACGACACCTGGTTGCTTTGCTGAAACGTGGTGGCAAGTCATAGATTTAGTTTCGGCAAATTATATCGTGAACCACGGTACACAGTGCATTGTGAAGTTTGGTTCAATACACATAATTTAACTTCATAATGTACAGAATTTATATAGGGCGTTTGGTTCACTGTGTAATTTCGTTGTAGTTGAATTGCAATTCAATGGATGCCCCAATTATATTGTTTGGTTGGAGGGAATTGCAATTCCACAGAATTGCAATTCACTCCTTTTGTTGAATTGCAATTCATGGGGTGCACCCAAGAATTGCAATTCAATGAATTTGAGAAAAGGAAAAACAAATGAAATGACACTACTACCCTTAGTTGTTATTACTATTATTATTACACAAGGGTATTTTAGTCTTTACACTATTTCTTTCCTTCTCAACTCCAAAATTCTATTTCTCCATACTAAACAACGTAATTTGAATTCCTACTTTATTACCATTCCATTCTTTTCTCACCAAATTACAATTCATTTCCCTCCTAATTCCTTCCTTCCAACCAAACACCCCGTTAAATTCATTATGCACAGAATTCATATTTATAATACACATACACATAGATACGATATAATGAACATGAATTTTGTGTATTACGTTAAGTGTTTATGTTGTCTTCAACTATATAATACAAAGAATTCATGTTCATAATACACAAAATTCATGTTCATTATATCGTGTTTATGTACATATATTATGAACATGAATTATGTATAGTGAACCAGAGTCCACAGTGCACTATGTATCTCTAATCCACAGTAAAACAATTGAAAAGCTTCCGGGTCGGCCCATTCAAAGAGTATTTTAGAAATGTGGACCTTTTCTATTATCTCCATCTACTGACATATTTGGCCTTCAGGTCTCGATCAAGGCCCAATAGCATAAAAACAATAGTTATTGTGTAGACCCAATCGTTATGCCTTGGACCCGTGTCCAGCATGCTTGCTGGACACGGGTAACAGTGCCGTTAGGCACTGTTATCTCCTTTTTTTTTTTTTTTTTTCTTTTTTATAATTTCAGATCACTTTGTTATAGAAGTATATGTTCATAATTTTATTATTATATGTTAATAACTATACATTCATAACTCCATAACTGTACGTTCATAACTCTATAATTGTACATTCATAACTCTATAACTGTACATTCATAACTTCATAACTGTACATTCATAACTCCATAATTGTACATTCATAATTTTCGAAGCTCTATGTTCACAATTTTAGAGCTCTATGTTCATAATTTTATCACTATATGTTCATAATTGTAAGTTCATAATGTTAGAGCTCTTTGTTCATAATTCGATCAATAACTGTACATTCATAATTCCATAACTGTAGATTCATAATCTCATAACTGTAGATTCATAACTCCATAACTGTAGATTCATAACTCTATAACTGTACATTCATAATCTTCGAAGCTCTATATTCACAATTTTAAAGCTCCATGGTCATAATTTTATCACTATATATGTTCATAATTGTAAGTTCATAATGTTAGAGCTCTGTGTTCATAATTTCATAATTGCATAACTGTACATTCATAACGGCATAACTGTACATTCATAATCAAAAAAAAAAATAACGCCGTTAACGGCAAAACACGCGCGAATTTTTTTTTTTTTAACTAAATGACGCGTTTTTTTTTTTTAAAACGACGTCGTTTTGGGCCCGTGTCCACAATTCAATATGGACACGGGTCCAGAGCATAATTTGCCGTGTAGACCATGGTATAAAAAAGATGTTATTTTGTGTGTATTTTTCGTGCAATTTACTTTAATATACATTTTTATAACACATATACATTATTTCTAAAGCATAATGTATATTATTCTAAAACATAATGTATATTATTACTCCAAAATTTTCATATTCTAATACGTAATGTAGATTATTTTAACACATAATATACATTATTCTTTCTCATAATATTCAACGACGTTGTTTTGGACCGTGATCCACACAGCTTGTAGACCATGATCCAAATAATAATTTACTCATCAAAATTAGACCATATAATTAGGTCTATATATTATAATTTTTTTATTGGATAACACAGATATCCGACCTCACAACATTATATGAATATATCAAATTAAAGTATGTGCAAATTTATATTTATATATATTATATGTTGATGAATCATAAAAACCAATTCCGAGAATCTGCAGAGTTAAACCTACCGAGTGCAGTTACATAAATGCAAGAGAATTGGAGGACAGAGTCAAGTCGTAAAATGGCAGGTTTTATTGTATGAAGATGAATAGACATTCAGAGCCTAGGATCCGGTCAAACCTTTGACATTTATTTTCTTTGATGAATTTTCACAAAACCCCTATTATTGTACACACCACTGGCCCCTAACACCGTACCATAAACACCATTTTTTATTTTCTTTTTTGGGTTTTATTTTCCTAAATATCAACAGTCAACAACTGCCCCTTCAGTGCCTTAAATTATTGGAAACATACCTCGTCCCGTTGTCCCGCTCTGGTGTTGTACATTTCTTGACTACAAATTTTTGCACCAATGATTTTTGACTTGGCATCTTAAAGAAATTTATTTTGAAATTTGAGTTTTTTTTTTTAATGAGTAGTTATTATTATCTTGTTTGTCTTAATGAAAATGTCAACATCAAAATTTTGTAAAAGAAAGTAAAAATTTGAGAATAGTAGTAATACTTTTCTTTAAGAATAGTCTGTGCGAGAGGTATTAAATTACTGTACATTACATATTATATATTTTATAAAAAAATACTATAACTTTCATTTAGTTTTTTATTTTTCATTCTTTATTTCTGAAATGAGATAAATATACATGATAGTATAGACCCAAAAGGCCCAAATGATATATTGTGACAATTTATAACATGGACTAGAGTTCACATAGCATTATATACCTGATTGAAACGACGAGGTACATAACTCATATTTGTAAGGTACAAAATTTCATAATATAAGTCACAAAAAATCACAACACAAGACACATACACATGTTATATATTTACATATTTTTCAAATCTAATTTAGGTACAAAATTTGTGTTTATTTTTGAGAATACATAATTTGTATTTATAGACACAGAATTTCACAACACTAGACACGAATTTATAACATAAGATACATTTACTAATTTCTTTTAGGTACATAATTCATACTCTTAAAATACAAAATTTCATAACATAAAGACAAACTCACAACATAAGACATATACATATGCATTAGGGTCCACAGTGCATTGTGAACCCTGGTCCATGATATAAGGATTTATATATTTTGATCCAATTCATGAAATTAACCCAATTAAAGTAATCTTGCCAGTGCTGGGTTTTTCCCCACCCCTTTACCCAAAAAAAAAAAAAAAAAAAAAAAGTAATCTTGCAAGAATGCAAGATGACTAAGGCAATAGTTATACATTTAAGAAAGATATTAAATGTTGATTATCCAACAATTAATGAAGCTAATGAAGTAAATCATCCAACTTCATTTATCTCCTCATCCTACAAATTAAGGCCGAAGAAACTATTGTTTCCATTTGTTTTCTTCCAATTTATTCATATTTAATATTTTATCATTTAGGTTTATATTGTACCAACACACATAATACACAAGTAAAAATATTGGGGGTGTTTAATAAATAATTATTAGTTGATTAGGTTAGTGTGTCTGACTAGTTGATAGCATTAATTGATTGTAAAAAAAAATTGATAAATTAGCTATTAGCTGATAACTGATTACATACAAAATGGCTTTCTTAAAAAGCTCATCGAAAAAATCGTTTTGAACAGCTTTTTAAATTTTAGTATTTTGAAGCAATAAGTTGTTACAAAAAGCTAATTAATCAAACAAACATTCATATTGGTTGTGTAATCAAATCAAACAACTAATAATAATTAAACTAGCTAAAATTGACCGATAAGACTAACTATTTTACTAAACCGTTGTCTGTGTTGATTTTAAAAAATTTGTATTTAAAATAAATCAGTTAACAAACGCACGCAAAGGTTCTAGAATAATACCAATGGCCTAAAATAATGGTTGTTTGTAATTGCAGTCACCACAATTTACTAAAAAAAACATCATTAATTTCTCCGTTAGTTCCATTTAGGCTGTGTTTGAAAACCCGGAAAATGACTTCTGGAAGTCATTTTCCGAGTTTTTGGTGTTTGGCTACACCTGGAAAATCCAGTCAACGGAATCCATTTTCCGTTGACTGGAGAAAATGAGGCCAATTTGGCGAAAAACGACTTTCGCCAAATTTGGGCGGAAGTCGTTTTCCGCCTCTTCTCTTTCATTTTTTTTTTTTTAAAAAAAAAATTTATGGTTTCTGGCGGAACCCAGTTCTGCCACCCAGTTCTGCCAGAAACCACCCTTGGTTTCCGACGGAACTGGGTTCCGCCGGAAGCCATAATTTTTTTATTTTTTTATTTTTTTTGTTTTTTGTTTTAAAGATTTAAAATAAATTTTTAATTTAGAATAAAATAATTAAAATATTTAATTATACCATTCTACTCTCATTTTCCATAAAATGAACCAAACACACCAAAACAGTTTTCCAAATGCAACCAAACACTGGAAAAGGAAAATGTTTTCCGGAAAATGACTCATTTTCCAGAAACCATTTTCCAGAAGTCATTTTCCTGCTTTCCAAACGGACCCTTAATCTGTTAAAGAGCCATCCAAATTACCCGATTTTTACTCAACCCGTCAACATTAGCATTTGGCCCGTGATTTTAGCATTGACTTGGCAACGATTCTCGACAAATAATAAACCGCCATGTCTGCATACAAGGATATATTTAGCAAACAACTAAGTAATGTAATCCAATTGTCTTTACCATAATAATCACTCAAAAATCGCCGCCGCCGCGGCTGCTGGACCACCACGGCCTCACCGGAGAA